CTCAAGTAAGGGGTGTGGAGTGTTTGAGCAAACGCCGCAGTAGCAGTAGTAGCCGTCGTAGCAGTAGCAGCAGCAGTAGCAGCAGCAGCAGTAGCAGTAGCAGTAGCAGTGGCAGTAGAAGTAGCAGTAGCAGTAGCAGTAGCAGTAGCTCCAGCAGCAGCAGGAGCAGGAGCAGGAGCAGGAGCAGGAGCAGGAGCAGGAGCAGGAGCAGGAGCAGGAGCAGGAGTGATAGTCGTAGTGTTAATAGTAGTGATAATAGTCGTGATAATAGTAGTGATAATAGTAGTGGTAATAGTAGTGATAATAGTAGTGATGATAGTAGTGGTAATAGTAGTGATAGTAGTAGTGATAGTAGTAGTGATAGTAGTAGTAGTAGTAGTAGTAGTAGCAGCAGTAGTAGTAGTAGTAGCTTAGTAGTAGTAGTAGTAGTAGTAGTAGTAGTAGTAGTAGTTCGATTTTCAAACTCAAGCTTTCCATGCATTCAATCTTCAAACTCTTCCAACTTACAAACCTTCAAACTCCGAAACTCTCGAACTTTGAAAATGTCAAACATTCGAACCTGGCGTCTCTCAAACTTTCAAACTTTCGAAGTTTGAACATTTCAAACCTTCAACCCCCCAAAGTTTGAAAATTTCGAACTTTCAATCTTCGAAGCTTTCAAACTTTCAAACTTTCAAACTTCCTGGGTTTCAAACTTTCAAACTCCAAGCTCTCAAACTTTCGAACTCGAGCCTGTGCGTGGCTCTGTGAGCCCCTACGCGTCTCCGGCGGTCCTTCTCCTTGCTCCCTGGCGCAACGCGCATTGCCGTGGCTTCAAACTTCCAAGCTGAATTGCTCTTCAAACTTTCAAACTCCAAACCTTCAAACTTTCAAACTCCAAACTCGCGCCTGCTTTCGAACTCGAAACTCTCAAACTTTCAAACTTCAAACTCTTCATTCTCCAAACTTTTCAAACTTTCAAACTCTCGAATCCCGTCCAACATGTACTACGTTCAAACTCTCAAAGATTCGAGTTCGAAAAACCCCACTCGTGACACCTATCTATATTCCTTACTTAAGGGGTATTGGCTTCTCTGGGTGCCTTCCATTGGGTCAATCTGCGGCTATGCAGACGCTGGCGCCAAGCGACGGTTCTTTCTGTTTCTGGCCTAGGGCACAAACCACCGGAGTTCTGAAACTGGCGCGAAGGCTCCCCCGCAGCTGCAAAACCTTGGTTTAGGGTTTAGGGTTTAGGGTTTCTTTCAAACACTTTACCCAGAGAACCCAATACCCCTTAATTAAGGAATATACCTTAAAACATAATAATAATAATAATAAGGCCCCTATAATTTAAGGTATATTCCTTAATTAAGGGGTATTGGGTTCTCTGGGTATGATCACGACAATAAGGACCTTGCAGACGGGGCCAACGACTTTTCAACGACGGGGCGAGATGTCAAACGAAGTGAGAAGCTGCTCCGAGTGTCGGCACCTGATCTAATATAGTAATATAGGGGCCTTAATAATAAGAATAGGGTTTGGGGTATACTGTACTATAATTACTACTATAATTACAATATAATAAGGAACCCCAAAATCCTATTCTAAGTATTCAGGCCCCTACATCATTTGATTTTAGGGTGTCTGGTCGGTCTTGCGCGAAGGCCTACTACAGGATCTCCGACCCTTCAAAACCTACCCATCAATCCCACACACATATAAACCTCTACAAAATCTTACACAATTCCCTAAACCCTAAACCCTAAACCGGTAAGGCTTCAGACGCCCTTAGCCCAAAGCCTCTCTCAACGAACAAGTTCAAAATCAGCCTCAAAGCCTGGATCCCTACATCATACATGGCTTTGGGTTTAGGGTTTAGGGGTTTAGGGCTTCAGAGGTTTAGGGTTTAGGGGTCTGGGGTTTAGGGTTTAGGGTTTAAGGTTTAGGGTTACCTAGAGTCTCTCAAGCTCCAAGCTCGAAAGCATGTCGTGGACGACAGTGGCCCAAACGATTCGTGCAACCCCCATTAAAAAATGATGAGAATAGCACAACTAATCACAATAATACTGGTAAAAGAAGAACCTAAGAATAATACCAGAACCCGAAAATCCCACCAAAACCTCCCTCTCGCCCTCTCCACCCTTCACGCCCATAGCAAAAACTCCCCAAACCCCTAAACTAAACCCTAAGCCCTGAACCCTAAACCTAAACCCGAAACCCTAAATCCCAAACTTGCTCCCCCCCAAACCCGCAAAAAAGCCACGAACAGAAGGAGGGGCTCACGCTCAAAAGCTTCGCGTGACGCTCCGAAGGCTGTGCATCGGTCGGGGTTTAGGATTTGGGGTTTAGGGTTGGGTGGGGGCCAGGTTAGGGTTCAGAGCTTAGGAATTTGAAGGGTTAGGGTTCAGGGTTTAGTAGTTTAGAGTTTAGGGGTTTAGGGGCTGAGGGTTAGGGGTTTAGGGGGTTGTTCCTGTGTTTTTTGAAGCTCTTCGGGGTTCTTCTGGGTTCCATAAGGTATCAATACAGGCTTCAGAGGGGTTCCAAAGGCCCCTCTATGAAGGATAGCAGTGCTGATTGGGATCCTGTCATTAGGGTCCTTGGACACCAGGGTTTCCATGGAACTGGATGCAACCCGATCTCCAGCTGAAGGTGGCGCGCTGTGGCTTCAGTTTGAATCTGCAAGAAGCAGCCACACACATTCATTGAGCAAGCAGCAGAAGCCATGGTTGCACATAACACTACACTGCAGCAGTCAGTTGCTTGGTTCGTCAATGGCAAGCCCGTGTTAACTCTGAAACCCCAGACAGTCACGTCAAGTCATTACTATGCCACCTGACGGTCGACCAAATGATCGCGAACTCGTATGGCTCGCTGGCCACTTATTTTCGAGTCGGAAGCGGCTGAACAATCCTTCGTGCAAGAATCTAAATTTGCATGTCATTGTACGTGTACACAACATATAAGCCATCATCTAGCCTTCTCAACCTCAAACCAGGACTTTAGGTAACTGAATATCCTTGGCTCGGAACTATCCACCTCAGACTCATCACGGGTGGGCGTGGTCTTTCGGGCCTCTAGCTTCCTGGAAACTGAAATAGGCTACGGTTGATTGTACAAACCCTGCATTACCCATAACAAGGAAGAGACCATAATTCCCATAGTTTAGGGTCCTTGAGGTAATGCAGGGTTTATATCATCAACAGAGGGGGCTTTATGAGACTATGTAAGGGGTATATATGGGTTATATAAAGTATTTGGATTAGGGATCCCTTCTAGGCGTCCCTCCTATTGTCCCTTCATAGGATCCTTATTAAAAAAACTGGGGGTTAAACCAAAAGAAAGGGAACTACAATGGAGACTATAGGTGGTGCAGAGAAGGGCGGAACCCCTACCTCAACCCTAAACCCTAA